AAATATGTAAATCAAAAGATAAGAATTATTTTTAAAACAAAATTACACCACCATTATTACACAACACCCACAAATTGTTTTCTTAAACAATAATTCTTCAATATCTAATAATTGTCCCATAAATGCCATCAATTTTTTCCTGTTTTTAATTGAGATCAAATTACATTGACAGGTTAACTTAGGGAGAATTGAAGTCTTAATAGTAGAGTTATCCTGTCCAAGGATATGGTACATTTTTCCATTTACTGATGTCTTCTTTTAGTTATTCAGTGTCATTAGGGATTTTCTTCACATAGGTATTTTACTTCTTTTATTTGATGTTTTCTATCTTTGTTGTGGCTTTTGTAAATTATACCCTCTAACTGGTTGTTGTTTGTGTTTATGAATGATATTGATTTATGTATGGTAATTTTGTATCCACTAACTTACTGCAGTTTTTCTTTGTTTGTAAAATTTTAAAAAATAGCTTTTATTGCATTTCAAGGAATTCATCAAATTAACTGCAGATAGTCATGTCATAATCACTCACTAACTTTTACCTCTAATTTAAAAATTATCTCTCTCTTACCTAATTGCATTGACCAGTGCCTCCAGATGAGTGTTAAATAATAGTGGACATGCATGCCCAGTATAGATGAATGAAATAAAGCAAGCCACAGATGCTATTATGAGAAAGACTGTTGAATAATACCCTCTGTTTCTAAATACAAAATCACTTTTCAGTGCTCTAACATGATGCATTCTTAAAAGCTAAACTACCACAAGGATATTGAATTTACTTTCATATCTTTATTAGTAAAATTCATTCACTTTTTACTAGCAAGTATGAACCACTTTGTGGTGTCCCTCCCACTCCCAATTTTCGATTCATATGGGTCCAGTGTAAACTAAGGGAATAAGAATCCCTGAATATTCTGGATGTGTGATCATGGCTCCTGCACCTCGTCTTCTAGTTGTGTTCTCCTGGGGTGCCATGGACCCTGAATCGGTATAAACAAGTATACTTCAGGTGTCCCCAATTGCTAAGGACTTTAAGTTTCACACATAATAGAGATTCATTAACTTTATGCTGAAAATAAAGAAAAAAATAAAATTAATGCCTTATAAAGAAATTTATCTTAAAGAATTCCAAAGAACACTGATAGAATGGAAAATTAAAACTTATTTCTTTCTTTCCTGACATAAGTATTTTCACACATACCCGTCTGATGGTTGATAATGAGCTACTGGAAGTAAAGAACTCATGAAAAGACACGTAGAGGGGGAGGAGAAGAGACTCAATACAGTGGTCTAGACACCCAAGTGCCCTCTCAGTGCCATGGTCTCTCCCCCTCTGCGCTCTCTGCCAGCTGAGCTGGTGGGGGAAGGGAGGGCTCAGTGTATGAAAACGGAAGAGACTCAATACAGTGGTCTAGACACCCAAGTGCCCTCTCAGTGCCATGGTCTCTCCCCGTCTGCGCTCTCTGCCAGCTGAGCTGGTGGGGGAAGGGAGGGCTCGGTGTATGAAAACCAGATCTGTGAAGCCAACTATAAAAACAACTCAATATATGAGCCCACATGCATGTGAATATACAATCAAATATCAAACTCTATAAACACTGCTTTTTTGGGCTTAGATTTTTTCATCGTTGGCCAAGAAGTGTCATAAAGCACTTATTTTTCCATGGCATGAGATTCCTTCTACATCTCTTCAGTTACCTCCTATGGCTAATGAGAAATAGCGTAAATATATTTCATACGTGAAATGAAAATATATTTCAGGGGTTCATAAGTAGTTAACAGTTATTGTTGTTGTTGTTGTTGTTTCCCCATTAGGTTAGGAAGAGAAGTTTCCCTTATGTCATCTGGTATTAGATACTTAGATACTTACTCTCTCTTCCTCTGACCTCTCTCTGCCTCTACCCACCAGCTAGTGCAACACCATCCCACCCCCTTTACCCAAGGCAGGTGAGATAGTGGCCATAAAATGCAGCGTTATCCAGGGAACGAATAATTAAGAGAAGGACTGAAAAACTCCATATATGTAAAACAGTGATAGCAAAGGGGGAATAAATTGACTTAGAATCTGCTTTTGCATTGACCTGTCTTTTGCATTAAAATCCACCTAAGCCTTGGAGCTGAGAATTGAAGTTCTGCTAAGCCTTGCTCAACTCGTGCCCCTGTCAGAATTATTCCCACACACCACTTGGCATGGAGTAGTCCCAGCAAATCCCTCCCAGTGATGGAGCCGCTTGTATCTCATTTCCCAGGGCACCCATTACCTTGAGCTCAAACGTTTGAACGGTGGTTCCTGTTTTGTTATATAAAAACTGGCCTAGGAAAATTTCTTCTCCTTCACATGTTTTAGTGATTCCCTGTAAAGAAAGCAACAGATATGGAGGTTGTAATAAATGGGTGTACGGTTAAAATAAATGGAGGCAATTGTCTGTTCAAGTAGCAATAACTTACCAGACATCTTTGGGTGTCTACCAGGGGCACGGTGCTGTGCTAGTGCCTGTACTGACCTATACACCCAAAGGTGTTTAACTTGGGGGGTAATGAAGCCAGATGGAGGGTGATCACAGGGCTGACAAGATGGATAGATAGTTGGATAGATACTAGATAGATGACAGGTAGACAGACAATAGACACATGAGAGAGATGATAGATAAATAGATGGTAGATGGATAATACACAGATAGATGGACAGATAGACAGATAATAAATAGATGATGGATGATACACAGTTACACACATGATAGATAGTAACAGATATGTGATAGATAGATGGATAGGTAGATAATAGATAATACGTAAGTAGGTAGATAAATAATAGATAAGTAGGTAGATGGATAATAGGTAGATAATAGATGACAGACAGATAGATGATAGGTAAATAGATAATACATAGAGGGATGATAGATGGGTAGACAGATAATAGAGGGTGCATAGATATATAGTCACATAGACAGATGACAGATGGATATAGGTAGAGATAGATAGATAGATGATCAATAGATAGACATACATAGAGCAAATCCCAGCACTAACTCTGGCCAAATAATTGTATTTGCAGTCAGCGTACTTTGAATAAAATAAAAATAACTGAGTCCCATCTTGACATGATGTTTTCCAAAATGAGATAAACTTAAGCCAGTTTCCAGACTTTAATCAATTTCCTCCCAACAGTGAGCTTTTGTGCACTGACAGAAACACTGACATGTACGTATGTAACTTCCCTCGTGCTTTTTACTCTCCTCTACCCCTCAAACTGAAGATTTGTGCGTGGAGAATGCACTGGTGCAAGTTAATTTATTTTGTGATCTAAAGTTTATTGTTAGGTTTCTTCAGTTATGGTACCACCACAAAATAAGGGGTCCATTAGTTCAATCATTTTGAACTGATATTAATGAAAATATTAATATTAATCTATAACAATTTTTATTAAAAGCATTGGCTCCATCATAATTACATAATGTACTCACAATTACATGACTATTATAATTATATATGACTCAAGCCTTATGTAGTGCCTTTAGCCTAGGAGTGGAGCACTAATTTTATTTCCACCTGCTTTATAGCCTTGTTTTAATTTCACTTGGTTCGTAAATTCTCNAGACTTTAATCAATTTCCTCCCAACAGTGAGCTTTTGTGCACTGACAGAAACACTGACATGCACGTATGTAACTTCCCTCGTGCTTTTTACTCTCCTCTACCCTTCAAACTGAAGATTTGTGCGTGGAGAATGCACTGGTGCAAGTTAATTTATTTTGTGATCTAAAGTTTATTGTTAGGTTTCTTCAGTTATGGTACCACCACAAAATAAGGGGTCCATTAGTTCAATCATTTTGAACTGATATTAATGAAAATATTAATATTAATCTATAACAATTTTTATTAAAAGAATTGGCTCCATCATAATTACACAATGTACTCACAATTACATGACTATTATAATTATATATGACTCAAGCCTTATGTAGTGCCTTTAGCCTAGGAGTGGAGCGCTAATTTTATTTCCACCTGCTTTATAGCCTTGTTTTAATTTCACTTGGTTCGTAAATTCTCTAACATAGAAGAAAATGATGAGAAGTAGTTTTCATTGCTACAAGAGTCCTGCTTGCAGGGTTCACCCATAATTCCTCTAAATAATGGGCAGCTCTGTGCACCTCTCTGAGATCGGGCTCATCTGCTCAAATTTAACCTAACTCAACTTTTCAGAGACACCTACTGTGGGGGGTGCAGCCTTGCATCAAACGATGGTGGTCCTCTGTTTTGTAACCCCAGAATCATGGAATTTATAGGCAGGCTGTTTAACACCCAGCCCTCCTCCCCTGAGATAGTAACATGAAAGGATCTAAATAAAGCATAAGCATACAAGGAGAAAATGGGAGTAGACACTAAGACAAAAAAAATCTGGAGATAGCCAGATAGTAACAGGAGAGCGCACAAGCTACTCTGGCTGTGGGTGCAGTGAGCAGCTCACTGACTTACACTGCGGGTCCCAGAAAGGCGGGGGAGGGGAGAAGTATGCAGGAGGGGCCAAATCTGAGGCTTGGCTGACAGTCATTTCAAAAAGCATTTGGACCTCCAGTGCATGGTAGGTCATTGGCCCTCTCCTTCCTTGCAGCTCTGAAAGTACTGAACAGAAACAAGAGGCTTGAGTCATGCCCTGTGCACTGGGTGGTGGCCCATGGCCCTCTTCTCCCCAGAAGCTCCCAGCATGCGGCTGGTCAGCCAAACTGATACCTCCTATGGCCAATCAGGCCATCGCACCTGCAAAGCTCACTGTGGACAAGCCCCACTGTGTGCACAAAGCTTCCAGCTGGCTTTTTACCGCTTAGCTCTTTTCTTCCTCTCTCTCTTTTTTACTGCTTAGCTCTTAGCACGACAGAGGACCATCACAGATATTTGAGAAAGGCACATTAGAAGAAAGATGGCAACTGTATGTACAGGTGGGGAAGTGGTATTTGGAAACAAAAACCTGAAGGGAGCAGGAGAAAATTAAACAAAACTATCATTAATGCCAATTAATATCTTCAGAGGCATAAGAGAAGATATTGCATCTGTGAAAGAAAAAAAACTAGACTCTAAAAAAGGGAATATTTACAAAAGCAAGAAGTCTTAGAAAGTACAATCATGACAGCAGAAATAAAAATTCAATGCAGGGGTTAAGACATAAATTGATGAAGTCTTCCAGAAGGTGGAACAGAAAACAGAAAAGAAAAATAAGGGAGACACCATTTTTCAAAATAATAGATGAGATGATAAGTTGAATCCTCAGGATGCAGAAATGAAATCCCACAATAACAGTCATGCAACAGGCTACCTAGCAAAAAGCCAGATTGAAACAGAAGGCCAGAGGGCTCCAGAAGGGATAGCTCAAAAAGAAAGAAAGAAAGAAAGAAAGGAAGGAAGGAAGGAAGGAAGGAAGGAAGGAAGGAA